GAAAGGCAGGCCCCACCCCTGGGTCCCCAGCACTGCACAGTGAGGGGTGTTCCTCCAGCTCCCACAGTGAATGTGAACAGCCTGGTCAGTATGAGTGACGGGCAGATTTATTCTTAAGAAATGGTGTGGGGTAGTCACTGTTTCTGCTCTCCATCAAAACCTTGCTAACTTGGTCAAAACTGTTTGCAGTTCTGTTAAGGGATTAGCTCAGGTTTGGTTTTATGAATGTTCTAGGCAGAACTGAACACCTTGCTCCTAAACAGTAATGGAGGAGGTGGAGTCAATGGATTTTCCACTGGAGCAGCATTATTTTGATCTCCAAACGAGAGGCTGAAAGTCAGTGTTCCCTTTGAAGCCTTTGGTTTCAGGAAGAATACTGACTGTGAATGGCTTGGCAGTTGAGCCACGGTGCTGTTCAGGTTTGCCTGGATTCATTTACTTTGTGTGATGCTTTTACCATGGAACAGGGAGAATGAGAAGTCCTTTGAAACACTACCATTTTCCTGTGCAAGTACAGACAGAGTGGGCTGGGAGTGTGATTGTCAGCACAGCCCATGGCAGCCTTTATCATGAGCAGCAGGTCTCTGACACCTGCAGAGCTGTGGATTTTACCCATTAATTGAGTGAGGACTGGGACCATCTCTTCCTGCTGTATATTTTGAGTCTTTCTATTGTGTCATTTATTCCTGGTTATTTCCCTTTCAGTTAGGAGTAGTTACAAGCTCCTTTCAGGCTTTCACATACTAGTGCTTCTGTTCCATGGCTTTGGCTTTCTTGGGGTTTGTTCTTTGATAGTGTCTCTGTAAAAGACTGAGGTCTTCTACAAATAAATTGGATTTGACAGGAGTATTGATTTCAATGTATTTTTTTCCCCCAGGAACTAGTTACCTAAAAGCAAATCCATTCCTTCTTTCTGTGTACAGATCATGTATAAGAGGAAGATAGTACCTGCTGCTTCTTTTCCTATTTTCAAAAGAGTGGCACACAAAGGGAAAAGCTGGATGTGACACTGGCACATCAGCCTTGCCTTTGAGGGAGGAGAAAAGGACAAGTTGGAATTTTGATGGGGCACCTTCTGTATTTGGGTGTAAGACTTGTCTTAGTGCATAAATCAGTAGTTCCCCAAGCCGGACTGTGGAATACTGGTGGATTCTGAGGAAGTGATGAGGCTTAATAGAAGCGTTCCTGTTCCCAGTACAGCTGTGATGAATATGCATAGCTGATCTGCTGGATACAGTTCCAGTGCATCTTCAGGGTCAAGCTACTGTTACCCCATGCCCAGAGGGAGAGGGGAAGTGGAGAGAAACAGCATGCAAGGGCATGTTCGATCTCTGATCAGTCCTGATCGGTGTCTGTGTTTGGGGATTATGGCTACCTTAGAGTGAGATACCAGGCTAAGCATTTTCCCATTGTATTTTAGAATGATTATAGTGTGTTCTTATTTAAGCAGGCCGTGCAGTCAGGTGAAGACTTTTTTAAATGTAACATGATTGGGAAATGACCATTCTCTGGCAAAAATGAAATGCCTAAGGAAGGCATCTCTCCAAGTCACCAGGTCCCTATTAGTGGTCATTCTGTGATGCACATGTGCTTAACATCAGACTGCCTTACTCATCTGAAAAACCTGAACTGGCTGTTGCTCCTGAGAAAAGAGAACACTTAGGAACCTGTTTCAGAACTCCCTTCTGTGCCTCAGCTCAGTGGCAGAAGAATCTGCTTTCTATTATAGTGATAAATTGCTTAATTGGAGGTGTAAGCAACCCCCACTGTGAAATTTGTCTTTGTCATATATATAAAGCATTGATTTTCTTTGTTTGCTAATGCAAACCCCCCTAGTATGGTGCTGTAGTCTCCCATCACCCTGCCTGCCACCAAGCAGAGGTCTGTGCTAGCAGAGCTAGGGTGTGTTTCACATGTGTCAGCCTTGTGCTCTCCCCACCATGTTGGGCCTCTTCTGCCAGTGACGTGGGAACACCCCATCCCTCTTGGCCCAGTGTGTGAGTCACTTGGGGTTCCCACTGGATCCTGTTTTGTGGAGGATTTTATTAAATATACAGTGATGAATTTATCTTCTGGAATCCTATTCCTAACCCCCTGAAGTGAGCCACTGGAGTCCCCCAGCAGATGTTATCACTAAATTGTTCTTAAACACTGCTGTAAGAGCAAGCTCCCCTGACTGCCCCCAGAGCACAGAGAACACTGATTTTGCTGGAAGATTGCTGCTGCGCATGAGAACCAACCCCAACCTGGGAAAGCCAGAAGTGCCACAGGGCTCTGCTCATGCAGACTCCAAGAGGATTGAGAAGTGCTGCTCTCAGATCAGGTAACAGTGGAAACTGCTGCAGAATAAAACGTGAGGAGTGTTGGAGTGAAGGACACATCAGAGGGTAGAGGTGGCCTTCCTGCTTTTTCTGGCTGTCTGTGTGAGCCACAGCCCAGAGTCTGAAAACAGCCCTAGCTTTCTAATCAAGTTGGGCTATTTTTTGTCAACCCTTCACTGTTCATTTTCTGTTTCTCTTTTTTGTCTCCTTCTACTTATTTTTCTTTTCTGCTTCACTTGCCCTCCTCCCACATCCTGGTTTGGACGATCCAGTCCTGGGCACTCAAGCACGTGAGCCAAATGTCTTTGCATGCCCTGAGAATGGTTGCCAAGCTTGTACCCTTCATTCTGGGTCTTTACTGCGAGCCTGGGCATGCTCTTGAGCAAAGGGATTAGGAGCCCTGGGAATAAACATTTCCAGCCTCACAAATTTTGAATTCCTATCATCTGCTTCCCATTCTAGGAGACATCCTAAAGATTTCTTCCCATGTGCGGTATGAGCAATCTCTGCTTCTGTCAGGTTTTTCTTGTGCACAGACAGTCTGAGATCTGCTGCTTTCCATTTATGCCTCTTTTCCCCAGCCATAGTCCATTTACATCATGCAAGTTTCTGCCTGATGGCTCTTTGCCAGAGCTCATCTCCTCAGCAATCTGCATGCATGGATGTCCACTTTTTTTATTTTAGCAGCCCCAGAAGACACCAGATTTCCTTGACTTGTTTTTTTTCCAGAAAGACGTTTCCATTCTCTTCCCATTAATACCAGAAGTGCTCCTGCTGCTGGTGGCCAGTCTTTCAGAACTATTTGAGGCTGGATCAGTTCTGATTGCATTGTGCCAGATTTGACTTTGCTGGTGGTGCTGCTGGTTTATTCCAGCAGGCTCGTTGCTCACCAGCAGAAGGGAGCTCCAGTGGACCTTGAGGCCTGTAGTGGGCCAATATTTTGGTCTGGGCTTGAGCAAGGTGGCTGCATGTATCTGTTTCTTTCAGGTTTTTTCCCTAGTGAGGTTACAAATGACTCAGTACTCTGTGTATATTAACATTCATGAAGATTTTTGTAAAAATGGATTAAAATTCAGAGCAACAATTTTTATGTTGGTTTTGTAGCAGCTTCCAAACAGGCCCCCTCACACCCTGTAAGAGCTTCCCCTCGCTGGTGTCAGCCAAGAAGTTCGGTCACTGCGCTGCTCAAGAGCCACTCCAAAATGCCCCGAGCCTGCAGCCAGTCTGACCAGTATGGAGCAGGACCCCCTTCCCAGCTCTGCCTGTGTCTGCACTGGGAGCAGCTGGTCCAGCCTGTGCCGAGGAGGGGCTGGGGCCGCCACCAGTGCTGCCCACTGGGAGCTGCAGCCCTCGGCCGGCTGCTGCCCTCACCCCGACAGCTCCTTTCTGGAGGTTTGGAATTGGGTCACAGCAGCAGCTGGGTAGCAAAGGAAGTGCACATGGAGGAATCACAGAGGAGTCAGGGTCAGGACACAGGAGCAAGCAGCCTTGCTGAGGCAGCAGGTGTGTGTTGGGCAGAAGGAACACGTCCCTGCCCTTGGCTCCTTGCCCTGCTGCCTGGCTGGGTGCTCTGGCTCTACCAGGTGGAAGGCAGGCTTGTGTCCTAGGAGATGCAGGGGGCAAAAGAATCTGATTCTCAGATAATTTGTCTTGTTAAATACAGCTGTTTTTTGGTGGTAAGAACTCGAGTTTTCAAAGAGCTGTATTTAGGTAAGATGTGCCCAAGGGACAGAGGCTCTAGCTGCTGAAATAGTGTTGTCTTTGCTGTAGTCCCAAGGTTGTCTGGGGCTCAGGACCCTGATGCTGCTCAATAAGAACTGTGCTTTTGGAGCATAGTGTGCTTGGCCAAGCAGAGGTACGGGAGGATGTTGGTGACTGCAGTGGCCTACTGGTACCTCAAGATAAACTGCAGAGGTATCTCCCTCCTCCCAGTTGAGTGATGGCTGCAAGTGTGTCAGTTTTCCAGCAGCAGGTATCCAATGGCTGTTAAGCTTGGAGAGAAGAGACTGCAGGATCCTCGTGGTGGCTCAGCCTGCAGTGTGGCTGTGTCCAGTTGGGCACTCTGCTGCTGTCTCTCTGGCACTGCTTTGGCCTCAGTCCACAGGAGTCTGGTGCTTTGATGTGAACTTACGGCGTGAAGAGTGGACAGAGCAGGCATTTGTTTGCAGTGATATCTGCAGGTGACTATCATTATTTATCTGCTTTCCTGAGAGCTGCCATATACTGGATGGTTTGCTGAGTTAGCAGGACCTGGTGTAGGTGTTACAGTAACCATGAGAGGTGACCTGAGGTGTGGCTGCCTATGGAGGAGGCACTGCTTTGTGGACAGCTGGGGTTGCTCACGGAGTGCAGTTTTCTGCAGCAATCACTCTCTCCATCTCCTCAGTGGTCTCTGCATGTTTGAGGTGCTGTCCTTGCCCTCTGCCAGGTACATGCACACTGCACACTTCAGAGAAAGAGGTAAGCCAAGGCATGCCCTCCCAAGTCAACCCCATACATTCCTGTTGCCTCCACCTTAGCTGCCCCGAGGGGTTTAGAACTGCAGAGAGTTGGTTTTCTAGCAGGTAGTCACATTCTTTCTTCAGGATGGCCTCTTGTGGTTTTGATTTCTACAACTAGGGCCATCCAAGTTGTTTCCATGAATGCTTTGTTCTTATGTTGCCTCTCTTACCCCTGCAGGCAGCGTCCTCAGCACTGAGCAGTCTGGGCCACGTGTACACGGCCATCGGGGACTACCCAAACGCGCTGGCCAGCCACAAGCAGTGTGTGCTCCTCGCCAAGCAGTCCAAAGACGAGCTCTCTGAGGCGCGGGAGCTGGGCAACATGGGAGCAGTGTACATTGCAATGGGGGATTTCGAAAACGCAGTGCAGTGCCATGAACAACATCTGAAGATTGCCAAGGAGCTGGGGAACAAGCGGGAGGAAGCTCGAGCCTACAGCAACCTGGGCAGTGCTTACCACTACCGCAGGAACTTTGACAAAGCCATGTCCTACCACAACTACGTGTTGGAGTTGGCCCAGGAGCTGGAGGAGAAGGCCATTGAGATGCGAGCTTATGCTGGCCTGGGCCATGCAGCTAGATGTATGCAGGACCTGGAGAGGGCTAAGCAGTATCATGAAGAGCAGTTGCACATTGCTGAGAGCCTGCAGGACCGAGCTGCTGAAGGCAGAGCCTCCTCCAATCTAGGTAAGGCCCTGACATGGAGCAGAGTTTGTCAGGGAATGCTGAGACTATCAGAGCTGCTGCCAGGATGCAGGAGGTCCGCTTTGTGCTGTCTTCTTAGTCACCCCAGTTTCACCAGACTGCCTTAATAAATTAAACAGACCCTTGGCAGATTGTGTGCTGCTGTAATGTATTCCATGTTCAATTATTAAATTCCTCAAAAAGGCACTAGAAAGCACAAACTCACAGCAAAAGGGAAATGAAAAGATAAAATGCATTTGAGGACCTCTTCAGGAGTCCGAAATAAATGTAATTTTTGCACTAATGCAAGTAGTGACATGGTTTGTTACCTGGCCATTTCTTTGGGAGCTTGTCAGCTGGATATGTCGATATATTGCTGCCTTGTAAGCTGGGAGACATATGGGTCAAATCCTAACTAAGTTTGTTTTCAGAATGTACATATTGAAATACTAGAGCGTAGGAGTCTTCTGTTCTCCTAAGGAGCGGCATTGGCGTGCTGCTGGCAGGCTGGGAGGGACTGAGTTACATCCAAGTGAAGCCCAGTCCTGCTGCTGCTTCACAGCGCCAGATGTGGGAGCGACCAAGGATACGTTTCCATCTCTGCCATGGCTGTGGCAGTTGTGCTGCCGATGCTCCAGCTGTCATTCAGGATGTGTTCTCAGCTGGCTGGGAATGGCAGAGCAGGGCTGGTGCTGGGATAACAAAATATGTGTTTGCTGGCAGTCCCTGAATCCCAGCTCTTGCAGGCTGCCCCACGCGGTAAATTAGCTCCTGTTTCTGCTTGGCAGTTGGCACTTGGTTCATTTGTAGATGCTAATTGTACTCTGATGTTATCAACAGCAGGTAATTGAAAAGAGCTTGATGAATTACTTAATTTCTCTTAGTAGCTGAATCTTCAAGAGCTGAATAAGAAGATAAGGGAAACTGGGGAAAACAAAAGAGTCCCAGCTTTTTAATTAGTGTTGCAAATCTCCTCCTTTACATAAATTGGGGCAGATTTGTGAGGCAAAATAGGTTTGTGGGGCAAAAGTTCTTGTGGCCAGCTTAGCAAGTCGGGACCAGAAAATTCATCTTAATGTCATTATTAATCTTAACAGCAGCTTTGGATTTAACGATGCTTTCATCATGTAATTCCAGAAATTTTCGTTAAGAAAAAAGAGTTTTGGTGCAGCAGAGAATGTTTTTCTGTGTTGGATTTAAGCCTAAGTATAACTTCCAGTTGGTATGCTGACTCAGCCACTCCCCACTTTGTGTTAGAATAGTTCTCCTTGCGTCTGAGTGCGGGGTCTCACGTTTCAGCTGTTATTTGGCTGTATTTTTTGTCTTCTCTGTCAGAGTTAAGTTATACTGGAGAAAGAGAACATGCAGTTCTTGTTGAGACTATTACTGTTGTTTAAAATGCATCCAGTACCAATTAAAAAGTCTTAATTGTCTCTTTCATCTAATCCACATGCAAAACAAAACCTCATCAAAATAGCCATGCTGACAGGCAAAAACAAATGTATCTAAATGTGTGTTTCCAGGCCAGAATGTTAGAGTTGGCCTCTTTGCTGAAGCAACAGACATTTTCTGTTTGCATCTCCCTGATGTAGATGGAAAGCACCCTTAAGTGTACTATCCAGTGCTGAGCAGGGCAGACATGGACTGTAATGGAGCCCAGCTGCTGCAGGGCTCAGCAGGGACATACCCTGTGCTCTGGGCCACGGTGAGCAGAAGGTGATGGGCTGAGGCTGAGGCACAAGCTATCAGCCCTTCACAATGAGGAGATGTGGAGTTTAACCAGAAGTCTCAGGTTGTCAATCTTTCCAAACACCCAGGCTCCACGTGGAGACATGGCTTTCTAGCCTCTGCAGTTCCCATTGCAATGGAGAGAGGACACTGCACATTATTAATAGAACACAGTTTAAAGTCTCTTAGTGCTGCCTCTTTGCAGTTCCAAGAGAACTTCTGTGTTTGTCTTCACATGCTCGCCATGTTGCCCAAAGATGCCAGATATTTTCTCTTGAAGCTTTTGCAATTAATGTCAGAAAACATTTGCAGGGCCTCCTTCCGTGGCTTCTGCACCTCCAGGCCTGTTCGTAAGTGTTAACAAAGTAGCCACGAGCATTGTTAGTGCAGTTTTATTGAAGCATAGGTGATACCATCAGCAGATTCAGAGCTCCTGTTCCCATGTCTCATAACAAATGCAAGATGATTCGACTGAAATTGAAAAGCAACTGCAAATGCCATCTTGCTCATTGTGTTGAGTCTGAGCTCTGGAGCCACCAGATATCACTGATGGAAAAAAAAAAAAGCAATTTTATAAGGCCAAACTGTGCAGTTGTTGTGATGAATGTGCGCTTCACGTGTAACATAAAACCTTTCCCGGGATTTTCCTGTTAGAAGCAAAGAGGCAGTTTATTTGGAAGGGCTGTGCCCTGTCAGCTGTGCCAGGGCCACATCTGGCCTGGTGCTGTGGGGAAAGGGATGGGGCTGCTTGGGGTGGAGAGCCAGGGAAAGGGCTGGGCTGCTGGGAGTCCGGGTGTGCAAGATGCTCCAGAGGGTTAGTGCAGGGAACCGTGTTCATTGAGCTCCTTTCTGTTGTTTTTCAGGGATCATTCACCAGATGAAAGGTGACTACGACACTGCGCTGCGGCTGCACAAGACACACCTGTCCATAGCGCAGGAGCTGAGCGATTACGCGGCCCAGGGCCGGGCCTACGGCAACATGGGCAACGCTTACAACGCTCTTGGCATGTACGACCAGGCTGTCAAGTACCATCGGCAGGAGCTGCAGATTTCCATGGAGGTCAACGACCGTGCCTCTCAGGCGTCCACACATGGGAACTTGGCAGTTGCCTATCAGGCGCTGGGTGCCCATGACCGTGCCCTGCAGCACTACCAAAATCATCTCAACATTGCCCGGGAGCTGCGGGACATCCAGAGCGAAGCGCGGGCCCTCAGCAATTTGGGAAACTTCCACTGCTCACGGGGAGAGTACGTGCAGGCGGCCCCGTACTACGAGCAGTACCTGCGCTTGTCCCCAGAGCTGCAGGACATGGAAGGGGAGGGGAAAGTTTGCCACAACCTTGGCTATGCCCATTATTGCCTCGGGAACTACGAGGAAGCTGTTAAGTACTATGAGCAGGATCTTGCCTTAGCAAAGGATCTGCATGACAAGCTGAGCCAAGCCAAGGCCTATTGCAACCTGGGCCTGGCCTTCAAAGCCTTGATGGACTTCAGCAAAGCAGAGGAGTGTCAAAAGTACCTCTTGTCCCTGGCACAGTCTCTGAACAATTCCCAGGCCAAATTCCGAGCCTTGGGGAACTTGGGGGATATTTTTGTCTGTAAGAAAGACATACATGGTGCAATAAAATTTTATGAGCAGCAGTTGAGCTTAGCCCATCATGTTAAAGACAGGAGACTGGAAGCCAGTGCCTATGCAGCCTTGGGCTCTGCATACAGGATGGTACAGAAGTGTGACAAGGCTTTAGGTTACCACACGCAGGAGCTGGAGGTGTATCAGGAGCTGGGGGATATGCCGGGTGAATGCAGAGCACACGGTCACCTTGCTGCAGTGTATATGTCACTTGGGAAGTACACCATGGCCTTCAAGTGCTATGAAGAACAGCTGGAGCTGGGGCAGAAGTTAAAGGACCCCAGCATCGAAGCCCAAGTCTACGGTAACATGGGCATTACCAAGATGAACATGAATGTCATGGAGGAAGCGATTGGCTACTTTGAACAACAGCTGGCCATGCTGCAGCAGCTCAGTGGGAATGAATCCGTGTTAGATCGGGGACGAGCGTATGGGAACCTGGGAGATTGTTATGAGGCTCTGGGAGATTTTGAGGAAGCTATAAAGTATTATGAACAGTACCTGTCTGTGGCTCAGAGCTTGAACCGTATGCAAGATCAGGCAAAGGCCTACCGAGGCTTGGGCAGTGGGCACAGGTAAGGAGCTGCACGTGTGTTCAGTGAAGTACAAGTACAGATGGATGTGGTGTGTTACTGATGGGGGGTGTGTTTGGTGGCCATTGCACACAGGCACAGAGGAGTTAATTAGTCTCTGGGTGCTAAAGACTGTGCTGCCAGCTCAAATAATGAAGCTGATGTTGCTCTGTGCAAAGAAGGGGAAAAGTTTATGGGGTGGTAGGAGGAGCACTGTTGATTTGACGGTGGTGAGAATGTCTCCTGAGTAGAGCATTCATCTCTGTCTGAAAGGTTTGAACTGGCCTCCAGGGGAAACAATGAAACATCTTCTCTCAAGGAAATACTGGGAAAATAAACACTGCTGTTTTCTTCCCTTGTAGGGCTATGGGAAGTTTGCAGCAGGCTCTGGTGTGCTTTGAGAAGAGGCTTGTTGTGGCACATGAGCTGGGGGAGGCATTTAACAAAGCCCAGGCCTATGGGGAACTGGGCAGCCTGCATAGCCAGCTGGGAAACTATGAGCAAGCCATCTCCTGCCTGGAGCGGCAGCTGAACATCGCTCGGGAGATGAAGGACCGAGCCCTGGAGAGCGACGCTGCCTGTGGCCTCGGCGGGGTCTACCAGCAGATGGGCGAGTACGAGACCGCCCTGCAGTACCACCAGCTGGACCTGCAGATCGCTGAGGAGACCAACAACCCCGCTGGCCAGGGCCGGGCCTACGGCAACCTGGGCCTGACCTACGAGTCCTTGGGCACCTACGAGAGGGCGGTGGTTTATCAGGAGCAGCACCTCAGCATTGCGGCGCAAATGAACGACCTTGTAGCCAAAACTGTGTCTTACAGCAGCCTGGGGAGGACTCACCATGCTTTACAGAACTACTCTCAGGCTGTGATGTATCTGCAGGAAGGTAAGAGGCTTAGTTGTACAACAGAGCATGCAGCAATGGGGTCGAAGGGGTGGAAGGGAGACCTGAAGACGTGGAGGGGTGAAGTACTGTGAGCATGGCACTAAGAGGGTGTGTTTGTTAGTGGTCTTTGGTGCAGAAGCTCTTGCAGACATCCATAGCTCCTGCTGAGCATCTGTGTGAGTAGCTGTCCGAGGGCTGATATGGTCAGCATGCCATCTCCGCTGGAGCCTTCCTGCTGTCCTGTAGACAAAGCATGATCTGTGCCTACCTGGGGGCATCTCAGCTGCCTCAGACCATGAATCTGGACTCTATTTGGCAGAGTCTCTGTGTAAAGGTCATCTGTGCCTGAGCCTGGATGGTGTAAAACTTCTCTATAAACAGTATTGAATTCCAGGAACTGACTCAGGGAAAACCACAAGGGATCCCTCTGATTCTGAGAGGTCCCGAGATCCTGAGAGGTCTCAAACTCAAACAGATGTATACCTTGCTGGTAGCCACCTGGCTTTTCCTTCTGTGTTCACCTGGGAGTGAGACCAGGTGGGTGAGTGTCCTCTAAACTGTGAGTGAAAACAAGTGGTGTTTGGTAGGGAGGTGAGGGAGGTTCAGCCCAAGGTGTCCCGAAGCCATCTGCCACTGCTGAGCGCTGGGTCAGCGCTGGCCTGACAGTTGTGCCGCTTCAAGGGGTTCCAGCTGATCAAGGTGTGGGCTCTGATGGAGCAGATGAGCAGTATAGCTGGAGTGTACAAAGCTGGAGGCAGAAGGATTAATTACATCAGTTAGTCTGGTTTTCCTGAAACTGACCTTGGCAGGATTCCAATATGTTGTTGGAAGGGGAGAAATGAAACATAGCTCCTTCTCCTGGTGTACCACAGAATTCCTGCAAAGCCTGGGAATGCTAGCTGCTGCTGAGCTGCATGGTGACAGCCAGGGCCCTGCTCCCCAGGCCAGGGGAAACCTGAGGTGCCTCAGAGGAGGTGTCCCTGTTGTCAGCAGGGACATGGGGGAAGCAGGGACAACACAAAACATGCTGCTGGAAGTGAAAGGAGTTCCAAGTCGTTCAGGCCAGGCCCCTGCCCTGTGCTCTGGCTCAGCACATAAGCCATGCAGAGCCTGCCAGAATGCTGGGGAGAGCTGATAGGAAACAAGCCAGTAATGTGTAAAAAGGCATCTTTTCTGGCAGTGTTCGGCAGCTCAGTGTGATTTTGTTTATTTGTGTGGCTTTTAGAGTTTAAAAGCCCTGATAGGGGCTTACTGGGAGTATCTCAGGGGATGGCACCTTAACTTGGCTTAGAGAGGTCTCGGTCTGTGGAAATGTCTGTCTCACTGAGGCACCTCTCAGGCTGGTGCCGATGCAAGGGCCAGCAGCATCTGCCTGGCACTGGCACTGTCCTGCTCACCATCCTGGTGCTGCCCCTGCCCTGCTTGCTGTCCCAGCGTGGGCAGCTCCATGGCTGTCCCTGCACAGGAGCCCTGCGGGACTGAGGCTGCAGCCTGCCAGGCTGCCACAGCCCATTCTCCCCTCTGGCACTCTCTCACCGATTCCTTTTCAGGACTGAGACTGGCAGAACAGCTGGGACGCAGGGAAGATGAAGCAAAAATCCGTCACGGCCTTGGCCTCTCCCTCTGGGCAAGTGGGAACCTGGAGGAGTCCCAGCACCAGGTATACCATGGTCTGCCCTGTGCTGAAGGGCTTGTGGCATCCAAGCCCTTTGGGTCATTCCTGTCCTTAAGGAAGGAAACGTCTGGTGTGTCCCAGGAAGGGTCTGAGCCAGACCTCTCCTGCTGGAGGGGATGCTGGCCCTGAATCCTCCCGCCTTCCCAGCCACTGCTTTGTGCTGTGTCTGTCAGGAATTCACTGTGGCTCTTTTCCCTCTCAGCTCTACCGGGCCTCTGCACTGTTTGAAACCATCCGACACGAGGTGCAGCTGAGCACAGATTACAAGCTGTCACTCTTCGACCTGCAGACATCCTCCTATCAGGCCCTGCAGCGGGTGCTTGTCAGTCTGGGTAAGAGGTGCCTTCAGATGCTGAGGCTGAACTCAGGCTCATGCCACGAGTTGCAGGGAGGCATTCACAGTTCATCCTTTGCTCCTCAGCTGTCTGGCACTGCACAGCATTTCTGTGCCAGGGCAGCAGTAGGGGTGTCCAGCTTTGCTTCCTCCATTGATTTGCCTTTCTGTGACTAGTTGTGTTATCGCCCGCAGCAAAGCTGATCTGCGGGACTGTACTCCAATACAGAGACTGCTCTTTTGGGAAATAAGTGACTCTGCTTCCCCAGGTTTCATTTGGGGTTGGGATAGCAGCTGTCCCTGTCCCTGCCTACAGCACTGCAGACCACACTTGTATCAGGTCTGAGAGATGGCTTTGTCTTTTTAGGTCACCACGATGAGGCGTTGGCAGTAGCAGAGAGAGGACGAACGAGGGCATTTGCTGACCTGCTCGTGGAACGTCAGACTGGGCAGCAGGACTCAGATCCCTATTCTCCAGTGACCCTTGACCAGGTCCTGGAGACTGTGAATGGCCAGAGGGGACTTGTTCTCTACTACTCATTGGCTGCAGGTTATCTGTACAGCTGGCTGCTGGCTCCTGGGGCAGGTGAGCTCCTCTGTGGACAGGAGAGCCTGGGAACAGGCCTTACAAAGGGAGAATTGTACCATTTGTAGCTAGAAATTAATTTGGGAACAGTGTGAATGTAGGAAGGAATAATTTCTGTCTAGTACCTTAAAGCAGAATAGACTAAAAACTGTGGCATAGCCACAGCAATAATGACACAGAAGTGCTTATTCAGGGCTTTGATTTCACCTGGAGATGGAAATGTTTCAAGTATTTAATATTTCCATTTTTCAGCCTCCTTCTGTATGTATTTCCCACAGGGCAGAGCAGAGCAGTAATGAGATTCCAAGTATGTTGACTCAGTGAGAATCTTCTATACATAAGAATCTCTACTTTAATTATATTTTTATGCTTTATCCTTCTAAAGCTTTTGACATTTATTCACTGAAGTGGATTGCAGAAAACAGAAGGGCATCCCCACTTCCTGATATGCCATTGAGCTGCCTGATCCTCACATGAATGTGGAAACACTTATCACAGAGGAGCAAGGAGGATTAATTTGAAGAGGATTGCTTTTTGCAGACAGCTGTTGTTCATTATCTAATAAAGCGATGACTGTAAATTTTGATGAGTTCTTTCTGGATATAATTTAATAATTGCAGCCCTTCACCACGACAAAGCTAAAGAGATAAAACCCACTATTTAGATTGCATGAAAAATGCTTCTGGAAGGAAAGCAAACACTCACACATGCCTGACTTAGATGAGTTGAAAGACGTTGGAAGAGCCACTTTTTGGGGGTAGTTTGTAATGTTGCATGTCTGAATGTAAGATGGGGTTGTCCTGCTGTGCATCCAGTCACTAATTGGCTCTTCAGGCCTACAGTTTGCACAATAAAATGCCAGTAATTCTACAGTATCACTGTCAAAATGAGCTTATTAAAATTATACGGGTCAAGTGTAGGGTTTGCCACTGGTCTTCATGATCAGTCTCTTCCTTGCCCACTGGGTCTTGTAGAAAAGCAGTTGCAGTCTTCGAGCCTGTGGGTTTGTGACTGCCTCTTGAGGTTCTGTCAGGTGATGGGAAGGAGAGGGGCTGTGGTGGGGCTTCAGGAGTTCTGCTCAAGAAGCTTTGCTGGGAGCTCCTCAGTAGTGACTCCAGCCTAGCCATGGTGACCTCTTGTTCGTTGATGCAGAGAGCAGCTTCAGTGGCAGCCCAAGGTCATTGTCCCACTGAGGTGGAACCCTCAGAGCCTCTGGGCTGTTGCTGTGTTTGCTGCAGGAGGAGTTGCTTTATTCTTTGTTCCTCTGCTCTTCCTAACTGGTTTAATAATTGATGCTGCCAAGGCATCCAGAGCAGCCTTTTACTGTTGATCACAGGCTGCAGAATTAATTATATCAGGAAGCATAGACCAGTCTGAGGGGAGGAAGGTTTTATCTGCACTAGTAGTTGAATTCTCAGCAAAACAGTGAGTGGCCTTTATCTGGTTTACCCATTGTGGAATGCTATCTTTTAATAATTTACCGTGCTTTAATCCATCTTCTTTCTTTTTATAGAATGTATTTTCATGTATATGAGTGAAATGAGAAATCTGTGTGTGATGTGAGGAGGTTCTGCTGTAGTAACAACACTCTTATTCAGCATTTGAGCCTTGTGTGTCCACTTAATGTCAGAAGCTGTTAATAGGTGTTTTTCATGTGCATCTTTTGAAATGTGAATTACTCTGGTAGGGGCTTGTATGAAAGATCTGGTTTATAATTTATATGAGTGCTGCAGTAGTAAAGGCATTCTGAGCATCTCATAAAAGCTCTGTTCTGCCTTTGTACCTTTGGGCCATTATCTGCAAAGAACAAACCCAGATTTTAAAAGCAAGGTTGGAGATGCTGGAGAAGCCCGGCGAAGACCTGGCACAAAACACTTTGCCCCAGTTGTGCTGGAAATGCCAAATGCTTGGGGCCCTGCTGTCTTCTTAGACATCTGCTGGCAACACTGTTTCCTGCCCTGCAGAAATAACCTCCTGATTCTGGTGCCTTGCAGGAATTCTGAAATTCCATGAGTATTATCTGGGTGACAGCCTGACAGAAAATGCTGGGGACTTCCATGAAGCCAACAGCGTGACCCTGCAGACACTGACAAACTCGGCACTGGAGCAGCACATCTCCAGCGTGCGGGAGGCTCTGGGAGTGGATTCCTACTATACCCGGTGAGTTGGGATGGGGGGGGGTCTAACATCCTGGTTTCCACTCTCCCGCCTGGATTTGTAATAGCCTGGGGTGAGCTTATTGGCTGAGAAGCCTGAGAACTGAGTCAGAAAGAGGCAATTTTTCAGTGCAGCAACAAAAAAATGGCTTTGTATCCATGGCTATTTTACTGGCAAGCAACTCTATATACATGCAAATAAGGTCTGAACCCATGTACTTGGTGGTGAATGTATAGATTGGATGAGGAGGCAGGTGCCATGTCTGACTGTATATGCACAGATTTCATCCTGCTTACAGTTTCCAGTGTAATTAATTCTGTTCCAATGGTTTGCTTTGAAAAACTGCAAATACCATAGGAACTCCACCCCCCACAGTATGTTCCCATTTGTCTATGACTGAGTAAATAATTTAGAGTGAATTAATCCATCTGATGAACATCAGCAAAGAGGGAGGAACCTTACTGCAATCCATTACTCAGATAGGTCCCACAACTGTGTTTTCTTATGTTTTTATCCTATGGATTTATCGCAGGTCAGGTTTTTCTGCTTATTTATACTCAATCTCATGATCTCTCATTGTGTTTGTTTTGTTTTGTTGATTTCATGAGTATGAAAACAGTTTCTATGCTGACCTTTACAAGTAGTTTTTCTCTGAATGCTTCTGTCTGAAAAGGACAGTTGGCGATGTCCCTGTCCTTGTGTGTTCTTTGGGAATGCCATGCACAGGTTCATCACCAGGATGTGGCATCAGTTCACCTGGTTTTGTAAGTGAACCTTGCTGTGTTGTCATACATGGCTTGCCTTGGAGTGTGTTAGTAACACACCAGCCGTGTGCAGGCCTAGTTCACTGCGGGTGCAAAGCGAACGTAAATGCTGAACGTGTGGCTGATTTCTTATCCAGCCCCTGGAATTGGAGGAAGTGAAGGCACTGGATCTTTGAGGTTATACTATGTTTTAGTCTTCTTTTAAACTGTTTTCCGTTTTTCTGCAGCACTGAGATGTGTGAGCAAAGCAGTTCTGTGATTCAGAAGGTGACATCCAAGCCCACGTGTTGATCATTGAGTCTTACCCTGCAGACAGGCAAATACAGTTTTCAGTTCTGTTAAACATTTGTCACCACAGATTCTCCTCCTGGCAAAGGCAGTCCTTCAGTCTTTAGGTTCTGGGATGAGTTTCTAATTTACTGAGATGTCAGCTTCTTCCTCACTTTTGGTGATGGTAGGGGTATGGTTTTGGTTAAGGATGCTGGAGAGGAAAGGGTGCACACGGGATGTCTCATCAGGACTTCGCTTTGGTGTTCAGTTCCACACTGCTGGAAATGGTTCCCTTCAGCTGGTCTAATTAGACTGGAAAGTAATGTGTTCTTAAAAAAAAAGAAGTGTGAGGGATTTTAAAGCATGGTTGAACTTGTGTTAGGACAGACTCTACTCTCTTTAGGGAGAGCATGTGACCTGCTTTCTTGAGTTCATGAACTCAGGACTTTTGCCTCTTTAAGGAGCTGCAAATACCCACTGTGAGTGTTACTCCAAACTGTGCCAGGACTCAAAGCTAAGCATGCATGCAGCTGGAGAAAAAATGTGCAGGGGGCAGCTGTTGACAATCTTTCCCTCCCTTTTTTTTTTATTTTTATCCCCTGCCTGTGCTTCAGCTAGCCCTGTTTCAGTCTTTGTGGAGTGATTGACTTTTGTCAGGACTTACCAGAGTGTAAGTCACATTGACCTGGAAGTACACTGACAAAATATCCATACAGGAACAGAGGGACAGCTCTAGTTGCCTGCACAAGTATGTGTTGTGTGTTCATTTAATTCCTGTGCTCTTTATTGGGAAACATGCCCTTGAGGAGAGGCTCCAAACTGTCAGGAACCCAAAAGGAAACAGAAATGAGATGCGAGGAGGCTTTGGTAGGTAGCATAGTAGGTTTAGCTTAAGTGTACAAATGTGATGTGCCATTACTGTGGTTTAGGAATGGTGCTCCCCAGTTTAGTTCTCTCACTGAGAGAGAAGTAGGCTCTCCCCCTCTCTCTGCCTCTCCGCCTGGGGGATGGAGAGGAGAATTGGAGGCACAAAAGGTGAAATTCGTGGTTGAGATCAGAACAATTTACTGGAAACAGCAATGAAACAAGAAAACTAACAGTAACAGCAACAATATTAATAACAGAAGTGTACAAAAAAGAAAGTGATTCACATGCAAAATGCTCACTGAGCCCAACCCACAGGCACACCACCCCACTGCTGCTCCTTCCGCCTCACTTACTCACCAGGAAGGAACCCCTTCTCCCCAGAAGAGTCACTTTCCCCTGCCTATGGCTTGAGGTGGTATAGAATAACCTCCAGGCCATGCCCTCTCCCAGCTACTGCAGAAATTAACCCTGTTCTGGTCGGAACCAGGAGAGCCATATAATACACAGATTATTTATTAGATTAAAGATTGTTAAAAATGTACCTACAGCATTTGTGTTTACCTTCTGCTTTTACAAAGAAGAGAAAATGCTAACAGTTAGATGGAAAATCTGCACTGAGAAGATTTAGGTATTAATGTCAGGAGAAGGGAAATTTAGAACTGTTGGGCTGTTTCTCTGTATTGCTGCTGCACTTGTGGCATTGATAGAGGAGATAGTTCTGTGCTTTCCCTCTTTGTATAACAGGAGTAGCAACATAGCTCCCTCTGCTATGTCACACTGCCAGTGAAGGAAGCATGCAGAGCTTGGAGTTATTGTGGAAATCTGAGAAGGATATTCTCACACATGTTCTTAGTCAAATCAAGGGCTGAGGTGGTGTTTCCTGCAAACTCAGTTTTTCAGTGTTGTGCTACAGCTTTAGAAGTCCCTACCTGCAGTGCCTGGAATTTGGGTCCTGCACTTCCATCCCTGTGTGCCACTCATTAAACCTTTAGGAATGCCTGGAAGAGGAGGATACGCGGCTGGTACTTACTCTTTTGTATGCCTGACAGAAGGAGGTGACCAAGCCAGAGAAAATTTGGCATTAGCATTTGGTTGAGGTTGTGTTTGAAAAACATTTTCTCTCAAACTGGCCAAGCATTTTTCATCAAGCTGTTGTTCTGTCTTGCATCAATGACCCCTTCATCTCGCTGTTCACCTCGCAGAGCCTGTGCCAGCAGCGAGACAGAGAGTGAAGCTGGGGATATCATGGACCAGCAGTTTGAGGAGATGAATAACAAGCTGAACTCAATGACTGATCCAACTGGCTTCCTGAGGATGGTCAGCAGGAACAACATGATGAACAGGTGAGAATGCAGAACTGCTGTGAGGATCAGCAAGCAGGAGGCATCCTGGTGACAAACTTCTCTCTAAATTGCAAGTTAAGGTGCAGTCAGTGCCAGTGCTTGAGGGAAGAGCCAGTGAGGACTTGTCCCAGTTGTAACTGATGACTGTCCCGAGGAGCACCCCTTCCATATTTGCCCTTTTCCTGGCCAAACGCTGGAATTGAGACTGGGCAATTGCAGGGGAGCTCTGTCCTGTCCCTGCTGTGTGTGAGGTGTGGGGCTTGGAGTTCTCTCCTGTGCACTTGTTATGGAAATACTTGTTTCTGTTGATCTCAAGTCTTGTACCGATTAGCTGGGATTAAGCTGTGCTTCCAGAGTTACAGGACTGTATTATCTGCAGAGTCTCCACTCATTTTCTGCCTCTTACAACTTGTTCAGGTCTCAGCCTCTCACATGACTCTGCTGATGAGGGCTTAGAGCAATCATTCGGAAGGAAAATTGAAGACAGAATTTTTCCAGTGTGGAGAGGGGCTGCGTGATGCAACCCAGGGTTTCTGGCTGGATCTGTGCTCCATTGTGGATTGTGAGCACAGGATACCCCAGGCCTTTCTCAGCTGGAAAAGCAAATGCGATCAGCCTGCAGCATTGTGAGCCACCACTGGAGCTTGTGAGCTGTCACAGCATCCCCATGGAACTGGGAGCTGCCTGCTGGCACCAGCAACTGGCCTGGTTTTCTTTCCAGAATCCACATGCGTATTTGTTCAAGCTGTTGCGCCGATGAAGGACTGTGAGCACTCGCTAGTTTTGGATCACACAGGCAGATCCCCAGAATTGCTGACATGCTTTGCTAGTTCATCAGGCTTAGAAGGACAAGAGATTGCCCATCTGATTGCAGGGGAAAGTAGGATGTGATTCTGCTCCAGGGAATGCTAATCCTCAGGAGCATTGCGGAGGCCAACCATGCAGCATCTCTGTCTTTCTGCTCCATAGGAGCCACGTGCATTACTTTGAATCCACACCCAGGAGCTTACCTCAGGTGTCTTGTCAGGTTTGCAGCTCTTAGGAGAAGCCCAGGGATGGGGCAGCTTGGGCACTTAACTAAAAGCACCCTCAAAAGAGCATCAGGAGGAGCAATAGAAGCTGCGATGAACTTATGATGTTCTTGCCGTGAGCACTGAGGTGAAGAGATGAGGAGATGTTGCTGGATGGCCTCCCTGCTTACCCCTCTCACTTTGCTCATGGAGGGGGGGCATACTGGGAGCCCTGGGGGCAGAGCCAACACTGCCACATCTGTTTGCACCTGGTTTGCTGAGCCCTGAATTCAGGATAAGTGCTGCGGTCCTGCCCAAGCCTTTGAATGTCCTGCTTTAATGTCTGGTCCGGCTTCACAGGTGAGACACCTGGAAGCTACACAGTCTAGAGGGACACTGTAGGAAACATTAACCTTATAGCCTCTTGCTATACTGCTGATTCCTAATAATTAAGCTGTATAGAGTGGTGTGGTTTATGGCATGCAGCACACTGAGCTTGGGAAAACAAGGAAACAACCTTGCAAGAGCCCTGGAGCTTCGGGATAGAAGCAGATGAGCATCTGTGTAGAAGAGAGCAGGGTGAGAAATAAAATGGGATCAGGCAGTACTTCTGTGCACTGGCCTAGAGCTCTAACAAGGAACTGTAAGCTCTTAGACTTTAAGCAACAGAATGCAGTGGGTACCTAGAGCACAAGCTGTGGTCTTGCAGCTCCAGACTCCAGCTTCCCACCTCTGAACAGCCATAGCTGTTCTGCCAGCTGTGCTGGAGTTAGTTCGTGCAGCTGTGGGTAAGTGCTGAGCAGATTTTTGCTGCTGTAGTTCTTCAGAGGATGGTAAAACTGTGGCCAGCAAGCAGCAAGTGAAGGTGTGGTGTCTGTTTGCTTTGGCTTCTGCACTTCAGGGGACGAAGGCAAGTGGGGCCTGCTTAGAGCTGAGAACGAGAGCTTGTCTTCTCTACTGCCAAGGCAGGCCCTGCACTCCTCACATGGGGCCTGAATGCATGTTCACATCTTGTGCTTGCGTGCTGGACATCCTCAGGGGAGCTTGCATGGCTTGGGGCCAGTGCAAGCTCCCTCATGCACAGGAACTGCACATGCTCTTAAGGTCCTGTGTTAGAAAATGAGGCTGTGGAGATGCTGGGACTGTTTGGAGACATCCAGTTTTTGTGTCTGGTGAGACATGGGTGACTGAAGGGAAGCCCTTGATTTGGCACAGGTGCCCTCTGGCTGCTGTCATCAGGTAACCTGGCTTTTAGGGAGAGAATAGTATGATTTTTTGGCAGTTCTGCTTAGGAAAGCAAACTTGGAGGGTTGGCAGTTCACTTAAGGAACTTCTGGGAAAAAAATGGACTTCAGAGGAGAAAGAAGCACTGAAGAACACTGCAGTGATCTCAGCACTGGGAAACAGCTGTCTTGAGCTGAGGATGCCACCGATACAGCCACCAAGATAGTCACAGTGGCTCATGTCTTACTGCAGCTTCTATTTTCTCTGCTCCTTGGGGCAGGGTGATTGGGGTCATTGAAGCCTGTTCCTGGCCTCAGGGGCCTGATATCTTGCCTTGGAGAACCGTGCAGCTGATTCCCTCTGGAGAACCATGCAGCTGATTGCCTCTGGTGCAGAGGGACGGGGGTGTACCTGGGGGGCTGGCTGGCCCAGGCAGATGGGACAGCAGTGGCTGGGGAGTCCTTTCTGTGCCAATTCTCTGCCATCGGGGGTGCAGTGATGCAGCTGCTGATGCACAGGCCACCCTGGCAGAGACTGCTGGGTGGGCTGTGGGTTTTATGCAACCACTGCTGGGTTTTGGGGATAATTGCAGATCCTTGAAAGTATCCACAGGGAGCTCATATCTGACTCTTTTCTGGAGCTTCCCACAGCTTGGTACTGTGGGTGTGTCAAGGCCCTGAATGTGGATTCAGGGCTGCATATTTAGGAGGAGTCTCTTTGAGGAAGTCCTGAAGCTGTCAGACCACTGCAGCACCAGGCCTGACTCCCAGCCCTCCCAATGGCCGTGCTTGGCCATGAGGGGTATTTGACTTGTCAAGAGTCCTAATGAATGCTAAGGCAGGAGCAGCTCTGTGCTGGTTCTGGGATGAATCCCTCCTCCCTTCTTAGGTTCCAGCCGCTCATCCTCAACAGGCAGAGCCATGCCCTGTGAGGCTGGCGGTCAGCCAGGTCGGTCTGACCCATGGCTTGTACAACATGGGTTTCTCCTTCATTCTCTGAGGCTTTGCTTTGTTCCTGCATCTCCAAGACAAAGGGCGGGAGCAGAGCTAAGGCAGTACACGCCGACAGCCCTGGCTGTTTGTGCTGTTTCTCTGCTTGCTGCAGGCCAGGCTGCTTGTACAAAGGGTTATAAATCAGCAGCGCTGCAGAGTCTGAGCAAAGGCTTCCAAACAAGAGATTTCACTGTTTAGGCATCAGGGGACCCTCTACATTGCCAGAGCAAGGTAGAAATCATCAGTGTGGCATCCCAGAGACAGCACCAGTGCTCTGTAGAAGGGGTGTTCGGTCAAAGGAGTCCAAAGTCTCCCCCTTGTGACATTGAAAGGATCTGGACTCAGGTGCCTGACAAGCCACCTGGAGAACCTTTTGTTGGCTGCTTTTGGAGGAAAGGATGGGCTGACCAGTGCTCCCAGTGCCACAAAAGATCTGTCCATCCTCCCCTGTGAATTTGCTCACTCTTTGCGTACACACGCACATGGGCAGGAGATGTGAGAGATTTATGGTGCTCACTTGATTTTGTTCTCATAAAAAGCAGTCTGAGTGGTGGAGGAATAAATCTAGAGCCGCTTGGCTGGGAAACCAAGATGCAGGAGGGCTGTGCTGACTGGAGTAATCAACCCTCTATTCCCTGCATTAAAGGAATGTGTGACAATCACTTGACACAGGCGGTGGAGCTGGCAAGTGCTGCCTGCTAGCACCTAGCTGCTCAGGGGGGTCAGGGCCCAAGGTCCTTGGGGACCACTGGGGTACCCCTGTACAAGTTTCGTTTTCTGATCTGATTTTAAAATCTGTGCTCCATAAAGCTGAGCCCAGCCAAGCATGCATGGCTCGTTCAGGTGCTGCAGTGAGGTGGGCAGAAGGGTCCAAGGGGAGCAGACAGTGCAAGCCTGTGCTGGTCCTGTGTTTCACAAGTCCCCCAGGCGAGTTTTCAGCATCTCTAAGCAGCAGCAGCAGCAGCATACTTGTACTGTCACTGGAATCTCTGGGTCAGAGGGTATGGGCAGGCTGACACCAGGCTTCTGTTGACATTCTGAAATTACTCCTGCGTGCCCATAAGATGGAAATTCCTTGTTAGTGGGAGGTAGGAGCATAGGAGCATTTTTTCTTCAGAGAACTGTAGGTTTTAGGTATGATATGAGTTGGGTCAGGAGGCTGGTTGCCACAGCTGAGGAGAGAAAGAGAGGGGGGAAAAGGCAGTTTTCTGAGTCTGTGTGTTGTGTGTGTCAGAAAGGGTTGGGGTATGTCCTGGGCCTCCGGTTTGTCAGTGGGAGAAGCAGTAAACTGGAGTGCAGTATTTTTGTTCTCCTTGTCTTTTCCTCCCTGTTGGCTTAATCTGGTAATATGAGGAGACACTATACCTGAATGTGTGTGTGTATATCTGCCTCTAGCAAATACACAGCTATTCATTTACCCCATTGAGTAATGTAACTGTTGGATGCTGAGGTTTATTTTTATTTCCTGGATGTGCAAATGCTTTCTCCTTTTATTTCTTTTCTGTGTTGATAGCCAAGAATCAATCCAGGCAAAGAGGTAAAACTAAGGAAGAGAGACAAGGCATTTCTTCAGCGTAAACGTTCTTAAAGAAAGGACGTTGAGACCAGTGCCCTGATCGAGAGTGTAAGTCTGGTCATGAACCAGGGAACTAGAGCTGCTTCTCTGTTGTGTGGATTGGCAAAGGCACACAGTGTTGGAAGGTATCCGAGAGGAGAAACAGCTTCACAGAGACCAAGGGAAGCTTTCTCTGTGCAGGAGCGTCAGACATGATCTGGACTGGGATTTCATCTAACCCTCTTGTGAATGCATTTGGCACTTTGAGGACAGCAGGGCATGTGTTGCCTCATGGATGGCCTTTTATGTTTGAGATTGTTGTATTCATTGCTGGACAGCCCCAGTGGTGACTCTGGTTACACTTCAGACCTTGCACTGCCATTGCTGTTCAATGTTCTTTTTCCCTTCCTAGCTTTCCTTTGAGGCCCACCTGCTAAAACTTTCTGGAAAGTTACCCTTTCCACATAAATTGGTTGTTCGTGGCCCCAAGCCAAGGATAACATTTCTGGGGAGCACAGCTGCTGGATTAGTGAGTCCAGAATAGGGCAACATCATTTCCTCAGCAGGGCAGTAACTTGTGGCTGCTGATGCCAGGAGAGCACGTGCAGAGCCCTGGGGGTATGTCGGGAATGGGTGCCAGATCAGCTCTCGACGCTGACATTCAGAGCAGTGGCAGAAGTGCAGGCAGAATCTTGATGTCTTGTTGTTTGCCTGTTGTTATATTTCCTTTGGTAGCACACTAGGTCAGTTGGTGCACAACCCAAGTGCAAATCCTGCCGTGACTGTGGTCAGTTGTCAGTGCATCTCGTGCCTGCCTGCGCGCAGCTGCAACGTGTGAAGGAACAACTGGGAGCAGCACTTCAGGCACTGGAGCGTGCAGAGAAACTCCATAGCAATGTCATAGGCTGTCTCCAGCTGGTTCATACTGCCATTAATATCACTATTTGCTGAGGTGTGAAGCTGAATGGGAGACTCAAGCCCTCCCATGAAGCATCTTACAGAGCAGAGTCCCCTGGACGACAAGGCCTGGCTCATGTCACTGTTAGAAGTCAGGGCAGCCCACAGTGGAGCTGGGATTCCTGCAGCTAACCTCTCCCTTGGCTTTTGCCCACAGGAGCTGCCAGAGCATGACCAGTCTGTTCAGCAGTACCATGTCTCCTGTTAAGGATGGAACATCCTCACTTCCGAGGAGGCAGACTTCCTTCACCAAACCCCCACTCCGTGCGCTCTACGACTTATTGATAGGACCCATGGAAGGAGTAAGCCTTTGGCACAGACACTTACTGAAATCCTCGCGGTGTGGGACAGCAAGGATAGACAGTTTGGGGTGGTATCTGAAGCATGGTGGTTTTCACAGAACAGTCTGAGTTGGAAGGGATCTAGTCCTACATACAAGATCCTCGTCTTCATCCTTCAACAAGCACTCCAAAGTCAGCTTGCCTTTGGGAAAGTCAGGCAGTCTAGACAGAAATAAAAGGACACTATTTCAACTGGTTTTCTCCAAACCAATGCCAGTTTGAGGATTGGATCTTATTCAAGTGTGCTGAAAGTTTCATCTTCAAATGAGTGGTTTGCTTGGCCAAGCTGTGGCTGCTGCTTAAAGGTGTAGAATTGCAAAAAGGCAGCAGATTTCTAAGCAGGATAGTCCTTTTAGGCTTTTTTTTTTTTTTTTTTTTTTTTGTAAGCTGCAAGTGTTTAAGCTGGAGCAAAGTTTAGTGCTTTGAAGTTACTCTTTCCTGGGGTGATAATGAATTAGTTCTATGATACACTAGCTAAGTAAGAGTGAAATTCTACAGTTACATGGGACCAGGAGCAGTTGTCACTTTTTGTGCCCAGCTGCATGTTTCTTTTTGACTAATCTCTTTGCTTCACTTCTCCAGCCATAAGGTGCTTTCTGTTTAGGTCTGTTGATCACTCTGGGTTGATGATGATGTCAAGTGTCTGGAAGTACAGGCCATGGACACAATCTGTCTGTAGATTGTTCTTTAGAGAAAATGACTATTTTGAAATCCAGTATCAAAAAGAATATTCTCTGACAAAGGATAAGGTGATGATAATGCTGACAAGATGTAGGAGGTTGGGGTTAGCCGAGGTTTCAGGCTGGAGTGGAAGGAGCTGTGGTGCTGTGGTGAGGCTGGGACCACATGGGCTGAGGCCAGGATGGTGACCCTGAGCCTGCGGGTCAGTGTGCTCGGGCTTGCTCGTCTCAGTGGGACTGGTGGGGCACAGGTGAGCAGCAGTCCAGCTGCACAGGTGTGCTCACCTGCCACACAGAGCATGGCTCTGATGTGGATGTTTCCAAACCTGACGTGGGTTCAGACTAGGGCCTGATGCTGGGGAAGTGCAGGTGGGGGCACTGGTGGAGTGAAAGGGCCAGACTGATTCTGTCTCCTTTTTCTGCAGGGTTTGATGCATTCCAGTGGGCCTGTTGGCCGCCACCGTCAGCTGATCCTGGTTCTGGAGGGAGAACTGTACCTCATTCCTTTTGCTCTCCTGAAGGGCAGTTCATCCAACGAGTACCTCTATGAGCGCTTCAGCCTCATCGCAGTGCCGTCCATCCAGTCGCTGAATCCCAGCTCCAAGGTCTGACATTACTTATGAAACCTCTCTCACAGAGCCTCTCCTGTGGTTCCAGCACATGCTCAGAAAGCAGCAACTCTGTCCTGGTGTGCCAGACACAAGAACAGAATCCACAAACAGGCTGCCCTGCCGAGGTGCTCCTGGGGCTGAGGAGCACAGTGAGCACCACAGCTCTGAAGTAGGTTCTGATGTAGTTCCTGCAGCACAAAATCACAGCCCTAGGCATGCCAGGAAGGACAAGGGGATTGGATCATTTGGATATCCTCCTCTAAAAGATCGCACGTGCTGGGCATGTAATGACGTGGCAGACTGCAGAGGTGTAGGTGTCTGTGCTGAGCTTCCCTGCCAAGCTGACTGTCCTGTCACATTACTGGTATGGTCACCTCCATTTTAGTGTTCTGAGTGGGGAAGGCCATCGATGTCTCAGGACACTGAAGCTGTGAGGCAAAGCAAATACCACAGGGGAATCCTGCAGAAGTATCTTCATGCAGGGGTTTGGCAGCAGCATTTCTAAGGCCCTGGTCTCTGGGAGAATGCCCCAAGTCACATCTGCTTTTGCTGGGCAGTGTTTTGCTGCATGTCTTGGCTTGCCCTGGGTTAAACGCAGCCAGTGGAACAGCAAAAGAGTCTGAACCTTTTTAGCATTACTGCTGTTCTGTTCAGAAGTCGCTGCTGGCAATGGTGAAGCTGATCCTGGAAATAGAGGTGTGAGGAACCACTTAGCGAGTGATTACAGGTAGTGTTCCCATAAAGTGGGAAGCTGGGATTTGCTTTATGCTTTTAGCTCTGCTGCAGCCCTCAGAGGGACCTGGGCTGTCTGTTGCTTTCTGTTGTTATCTGTCTGTTCGCCCAAGATGTGAGGATACAAGTCCTGACCAGACTCAAAGGAGGTGTTCCTTGAAATAAACAGAAGAAACTAAAGAAACACAAAATCTTCCTGTAATTAGGAGAACCAGACTGTCTGTTTAGATCCAAAGGGACAGGATATTTTATTACCAGCATCATAAAAACCAGATCTTTGAACCTATTTTCTTTTTCTCTTTCTCTGTGTAGTCCCATGTGAGGAAGAATACTCCTGCTTACTCCAGTTCTACCTCAATGGCAGCTGTCATAGGAAATCCCAAGCTTCCTTCAGCAGTTATGGACAGGTGGCTGTGGGGACCTATGCCCTCTGCAGAAGAGGAAGCATATATGGTATCTGAGTTACTTGGCTGCCAGCCCTTAGTCGGCAGTGCATCAACAAAAGAGAGGGTCATGAGTGCCCTCACTCAGGCAGAATGTGTCCATTTTGCAACCCATGTCTCCTGGAAGCTGGCTGCTTTGGTCCTGACACCCAACAGTGACAGCAATCCAGCCAGCAGCAAGAGTTCTTTTGGGAACCCCTACACAATCCCAGAATCTCTTCGGATGCAGGATGATGCCAGTGATGTGGAAAGCATCTCAGACTGCCCTCCTCTTCAGGAGTTCCTGCTTACAGCAGCTGACGTCCTGGATCTGCGGCTTCCAGTCAAGCTAGTGGTTCTTGGCTCTTACCAAGAGTCCAGCAGCAAAGTCACTTCTGATGGAGTCATTGGCTTGACAAGAGCATTCCTGGCAGCTGGGGCTCAGTGTGTGCTTGTGTCACTCTGGCCCATTCCTGTGGCTGCTTCCAAAATGTTTGTGCATGCCTTCTATTCCTCTCTCTTAAACGGGATGAAAGCCAGTGCAGCCCTCGGAGAAGCGATGAAAACCGTGCAGAGCAGCAAGCAGTTCTCCCATCCGGCCAACTGGGCAGGTAGGAAGAGTCTTCTTTTGGACAAACCAGATGTGGGGTTTCTAGAGAGCTGCCAAATTGATTGAGCTAAGAAATGAGCAGTGCTGGCAGGTAGGTGGGAGAGTGTGTGCCCTGTGCTCTCCTAGAATTCAGCCCCTGTGTCTGAGACCCCGATTCAGTTGAGTGTCGCTGTCATGGGACACATTGGCATCTCACTATGCACAGTAGGTGGGTATGAATTTGATACAGTTGGAAGCAGTTGTGAGGCGAAGTGTGCTTCATGACTGGAAAGAAATAAAGTGCAATACAATGACTCATTCTCTATGTTTGAAATCTCCAGGGTCACGTTTCCTGTGTCCCTGGAATGGAGTTGGCTGGAGCACACATATAGGACTTTTTCACGGAGAACGTAGTGACACACTAACTGGAGGCAGGAGCAGTACTGCTGGAAGCTGCAGTAGCAACCAGGAGCTGTGATTTCTGTGACATAAACCTCATAGGGCTTATTCCTTTGGTCTTTTTAGGAGAAAGGTTCCCCTTGCTTCCACTGGGAATGTCTCAGCAGTGTCAGCTCCTTATGCAGTGCTGGTGCTTGCTCCTTCTCAATTAGATCTGTGCGTTGAGATTTGAAATGACAAAGTCTTGGAGTTCAGCAGTGCTGTTACAGGGGTATCTACAAATAACCTAATTTTTTTTTCCTAGCACAAGGCCTAGTTTTTGAAAGCTGCATGCATTCCCCAAATGGATTTTTGCACAGGCAGTAGAACCATGTTCTTTAGCTGTGGTGAACATGGCTCTGGCATGAACTGCACCTGGCTGGAGGAGTGGGAAGCTTGCTAGAGCTTGTTAAAGTGAGTCAAGCTGACAGTGATTTCAGGCACATTGAGTCCAGCATTAGGATGTGGTTCAGGCAGCACCAGATGGGAGCTGAGTTCAGGTTACTGTGCACAGTTCAGTTGGGATTTTATTTTCCTTCCAAGATTTTTCTGTCTCAAAAGAAAGGAGCAGTAAAATACCCCAAAAGTGACCTCTTCCTAGGCAAAACAGAATGAGTGTGGACATGGTGCTTGGCATCACTACCAAGCAGAGGCTTTCAGCTGCTCAGGCTGTCTGTCCTGTCCCTTCCATGCTACTGTGTGAGTTCATCACTCACAGTCCCCGCCTTCCACCGCTGACCCTTGATGCTAAGTCTCGGAAGGAGCACCAGAGCCAGGAGCAGCTGCATCCTCGCTGCATGAGTGAGAGGAGGCAGGTAGAGCTCCTCATGCTGACATTTGGGGAGTCTGGCATTGGATGGTGCATAAGCCAGGACAGGTTTCTGATCGGGACAGGGAAAGCTCTCTGTGTTCTGAGTTCTGTTCTGCGAGTGCTGTTGGCAGCTGTTGACTTCCATGGCTCTAGAGGAATCCTAGAGCATGCCTGGACAAGTTTAGCTGCAATCCAGTGGTTTTCTGCTTGCTTGAACAGGAAGACACTATTGATTTAATAGCAGAGGACAATAAGAAGCATCTAGAAGCTTTCTGGAAGTTCAGTCTGTGGAACCAAGCAGGGAGTGGACAGCTGCTCTGGGAAAAGAATGTCCCTGTGCAGGGTGCAGTGAACCATCATTCAGTAGTCTGCAGGCAGAGGACACCTGCGTCTGGTTTGAACATTTTCCATAAAAATGGAAGATTGACTGTCTCTTATTCTGAATCCTGCAGGCTTCATGCTTATTGGGAGTGATATGAAGCTGAACAGCCCTTCTTCGCTGGTAGGACAGGCCCTGATTGAGATCCTGCAGCACCCTGAAAGGGCCCGGGATGCTCTGCGTGTCCTGCTTCATCTGGTAAGGGAAAGGAAGTGCTGCCACAGCTCACAGGCACCGGCAGGGGCACCACAGCCCATCTGATCCTGAGACACCTTCGCCTGGGGACACGTCTGCAAACCATGAGTGGAAGAGCAGCACCCTGATGTGCAGCCACTCCCATTTGAATATACAGATAGATACATATATCTGTACACACACATACACCTTCACCCCCTCTCTCCTGCCGTGATGTAGCCTTTTGTGAAACTCTAGGTCAGTGTGGAAAGACCGGAACACCTAGGGAAGTATCCAGAGCAAAAAGAGGCAAAGGAAGCAAAATCTTGCATTGTATTGACAAAATCCTCCCTAGACCCATCTGCCTTGCATTAGCTGTTGAATTGGGTCTCTGCTTTAAAAAAGAGGTAATCATTGGAGTTAATTGTTTGTACAAGGAAATAGTTATGAACGTGGCAGTCATGGAAACACAGCACAGTCACTGCTGTCTCTGCACATTTGGAAGATAAGAGGCCCTTCTGTCCCCATCTGTGCCACCAGCCTGTCCTGGGGAACAGTGGGACTGGAGCCAACTGCCAGGTGGCTGGAATGATCGCTCATGGCTTTTAATACTTTTCTTTCCAATGTGTCATCTGTGGTCCCACAGGAGTGTGAAGTATCCATAGAGTGATGGAAACCTGTGAATATTGCTGGTCCTCCCAGTTGCTGGGGTTTGTGGACGCTCATCTCAGTCTTTCCTATTTGCCATGTAGGTGCAGATTCGTCTGGTAATAAGCAAGCTGGGACCCCAACATGAGTCATCTTTTGGGGAGCAGTGCAGCTACCAGGCTTACAGGAAACTATCCCAAACAAACTGGTACTTTGTTTCCTGTGGCATTACTGTTCCCAGCATCTCAGAGAATGTTGACACTCATCACTGTGATGTTACATCTGTGAATGCTAAGTTACTGGAGCCTCTGTTTTCAAGGCACTAAAGTCCTCCTGTGTGAGACAGGCCAGGATCAACCTTGGATTTACTGTCTCTCAGCCTTTTCTCTGTGTAAGAAGAGGAGGTCAGTAACAATTAGCTAATGGTGTATTTTCCCCACAGGTGGAGAAATCACTGCAGCGAATCCAGAATGGGCAGCACAACTCCATGTACACCTCCCAACAAAGTGTGGAGAATAAAGTTGGTGGCATTCCAGGCTGGCAGGCACTCCTCACTGCAGTGGGATTTCGGCTGGACCCACCAGCCAGCGGCCTCCCAGCAGCAGTGTTCTTCCCAACCTCAGACCCCGGGGACCGGCTGCAGCAGTGCAGCACCACCATCCAGTCCCTCCTAGGTGAGAGGAGGCAGCTGTGGGCCCTGACCAGGCAGACATTAGCCTTTCCTGCCTTTCTGTGATGAAATCAATGTATTGAACTGGGAAGAAGTTCTGAAAGTAAATGTTTACTGAAAATTTTGTCACAGATGAGAATCATTTACTACTGGGTCGAGTAAGCACGATGTGACTTCCTTTTTGTTGTATTTCTTGCAGTCAAGAAATATATACAGACATTTCTGCTGATGTTTTTCAGGTTTGCCTAACCCTGCACTTCAGGCACTTTGTAAACTTATCACTGCTTCAGAAACAGGAGAACAGCTTATCAACAGGGTGAGTTGGGAGGTTTTCCTTCAGTACCAGATTCCAAATGGTTCTTCCCAGGTCAGTAAATTCAGAAATGCACTGAATGGTTGATATCCTGGTTTATCAACCCAGAGCTTGCTAGGAGACTTGAGGGTTTAAATTCTGACTTTGCCTATTTGTGTGAATGAAAGTAAGTGTCCGGAAGGAAGAAATGCAGGTGGGTTACTGGACTGCGTGGCCTTGGAACTCCCCATTCAGTGACAAGTTAAAGCATGATCCCTTCTGTGAGGGGGAATTGAGTGACAGACCCCTTATTGCTGTTTGGCCATCCTGTCTAGGGGCCACGTTGGCTGGTCTTTGTGCACTGTATTTACCAAAGTCCCAAGGTATGGCTGACTTGGGTCTGTCAGAAAACTCACTGGGACTGTGCTGCTCCAGTGTGTGCTCACAGCTCTGTGGAAGGGACTTTAGGAGAAGGGCAGTGATACCTGTGGCGATGGGACTTCTCCCTGCTCCCCCCAACCTCCTTCACACTCCTCCCTCTCCCCAGTCTCTGGAGCATGCCTAGCCCAACCTGACCTTTCTCTGTGCCACCGGCCGGGCTGCTTTCCATTCCATGGTTCTTACTGTCCTGAGTGCTCTTGTAACAAAGTTTCTCTTCATCATTTGCCTGCGTTAGTACGTGGACACACACACAGGGAATGGGCCTATAGCTCACTGTCTTTCCCCTTTCCCCATGCAGAAGCATTCCAAGGCAGTACTGTGGTGGGGAGCTGGGATTGGCTCTGTGTGGTGTCCGGTCTGCCCTTCAGTCACGTGGAGTCTCCACAATATACAAGACAAGCCTCAGCTTTGCTGTTTCCCACTGAGCAGCTCTGAAGCCCACTAGAATGAGTCTGCTCCAGAGAGGGAGTTCCTGTTAGGATCCTGTTAGGATCTGCAGCAGCGCATGAGATATTTCCAGTGGCCTGTCCTTGGTGGTGTTTTGCCTCTTGCCTGGGCTCTCATCGGTGCCCAGGATGTCTGTGATTAACCACAGTGTTAACTCCCTCATGGCCACCCAAAGGACCTGGGTCCGAGGGGTGTGAGGAGGAGAGGACAGCATCCTCCTGGCTCAGAATGTCTTACAGTGCTCATGAGGTGACTTCCTGACTGTCGCCCTGCCTCAGATGATGAAATCACCCAAGGACAAACATTCAGCTGGCTGTACATGACTAATAAAAGACACACACATCCTTTCCTTGCTGCCCCACACAGTAAATACTGGCAGGCATATTGCACTGGGTTTGCAAATGTTGTTCCATAGCCCAAACCCCCAGCAGAATTCCCTTTTGCGCAAGAGTCTATCCTGTTACACGCCAGGGTTTTGAGCTCAGCTCTCCCACCCTTTGTGGTTATTGCTTTTTTCCCTCCTGCCTCTCCACAGTTCATGAAGTGAGCAGCCTGGGGCTCTGCCTGTCCCAGAGGAGAGCAGGCTTTGTTCCAGACGGAAGCAGGACGTGGAACAGTTCAGTCAGTGGGTGCTGCTTGCTGGTTTTCCCTGGTGGGTGACCGGCATGCAGGTGCTCTTGGCGTTGGTGAAGCAGCGAGGTGGGAGCCTGAGCTGCTGCACTGGACAGAGGACACTTGTTTTGAGTGCAAAAGAGAAGGCAGGAGCCACAGAAGAGAGAACTTTAGTACTACTGCATGTGCAAGGAAAAGTTAGGGATTGCTGACTGCACTGAATGCCAGTACTGTATCCCAGAGGAAACGAGAGAAGGACTGTTTTATGTTCAGCCTCCTGCCAGAGTGTGGGTTGGCCTGAGTGTCTGCCTGCTAAGTGTCTGAGCTGTCATGAGCTGGGCACTCCCAGATTCCAGCTGCCTGTTCCCACGCTGTTGAACTCAAAGTTCAGGCCATTCCCTTTGCTCCCTTCTTTCTATGGATAGAGCGTCTTGTAGGCAAGGTGCTGGTTTGCACATGGATGTGTCCCTGCAGGGTTCCCCAGCACAGCCACTTTGTAGCACAGTGTAACCCATGTTCTTTCTTTTCTCCTCTTTTCCTTTCTTGTTACCTGCTGCCCGAAGGCTGTTAAAAATGTGGTGGGAATGGTGAGTATGATGTGCACGGGGGTGACACTGCGGTGCAGGGTGAAACGCCAGGGTCACTGCAGACCCATTCCCTGTGCTGCAAAGTGTCTGCACCCGCTCCCAGGCCTGAGATTTGCTCCACAGAGCTACTGTGGAAAAAGGCCTGTGTAAGCTTTTGTGGGTTGTCAGAGATGGGTGGTCCTGAGGTTAGCTGATCCCTGATTAATGGCTTTCCATCCTTGCTGCCCTGACTGTGTTGGTGAATTACATGGGATCCTGGCATCTTAATTTGTGTCAGATCTTCATAAACACATTTTCTCTCAAGCTTGCTACTCCTGTCCCTTGGGCACGGTTGAGAAACTTCTTTCCTGGAGGCCATGGAGGTATTAGGAAAGTCTTCCATAGTTTCATATGACTTGTTCTGCCCAGTTAATGAGTTTCTTGGGATTTGCATAAGGAGTATGGCTCAGTCATGGAATGGGCTTTAGTATATTCTATGAGCAGCCATAGAGTATCTCTTTCCTTTTCTTTCACTTCACAGATGTTCCTGCTGTGCTTCCTTCTTGCTCAGTTTCCACTGGCCACCCCCCAGCCCTCACCCCTGGTCTGTCCCTGCCTTTGCTACTGTTCCAGTCTGTCCGATGTTCCTGTCCCTGAACTGTCCCTCTGCCCAGACCTTCCCATCTCACTGCTCTGTTCAGGAGCAGCAGCTGAACTGGGTGTCAAAGGAAAGGGTGTTCAGGGAAAGGGTATTGCCTTAGCTGTGACTGTCAGAGAAACATGATGTGACTTGTAAGGAATGGCTAATATCTGTATTGCTTTCTTCAGCTGCATCAAGTCCTGGTTCAACTTCAGGCAGGCGAGAAGGAGCAAGATTTCTCCTCTGCACCAATCCAGGTCTCCATCAGTGTCCAGCTCTGGAGGCTGCCTGGCTGTCATGAGTTTCTGGCAGCTCTAGGTAGGAAAATACTTCTTTCTGTTGTCCCTCTAAACCCATTGCTGGTGTCTCCTGTGGGGCTTGAGACTCACAGCTTCACATTTATCTGCCTTCTGCAGGCCAGCCTGCATTTGCCAAATTCCAAAATCTGTGCTCTTCAGCTCCATTTCTGCAAAAAAACTTGGAATTAATGGTAAATGGTTGGGTATGTGGGACACTGTCCCCTGAGATGTATTTGGTATATCATTCCCCAACAACTCCACATAATTTGCAACTAAAGAAGGATTGACAGGGGTCATTTGTGTATGAGTGTGTGTGTTCCCTGTCCAGCGCCATAAACCTTCCAAGACCTGGAGAAGATGTGCTGAACATTAATAAATACACACAACAAACTGCACGGAGGGGTGAAGTCATTCTTCTGAGGGTGCTGCAGGGTCTCATACCTCTCTGTTCTGTCTATGTTTTAAATGAGATCACTCTTACTTTAGACAGAGGGTCTTTCTGTGAGTTGTGATTTTCTGCTCTATGTCCCACTACATAGGTTTTGACCTTTGTGAAGTTGGCCAAGAGGAGGTGATTCTGAAAACTGGGAAGCAAGCTACCAGGAGGACTATGCACTTTGCTCTACAATCCTTGCTGGCACTTTTTGGTAAAGCTGCTTACAGTAGTTCTTGCTCCTGTGTCCTGTGATGATTTGATCAGAATGGCTTCTGGTGAAATCTCACACTCACACCTTTGCAGAGGTCACACGTCACACACGTGTCACACAGGCCAAACATCATCCAGTGAGTGGCTGGAGCAAACATTATTTTTCTGTGGGAAAGACTTGTATGAGCCCAAGCTGGGGACAGAGTCCAGCAACTGGAGGATGTATAACTCACTCTTGGTTTTGAGAAATAAAATGGTAATGAACTGACAAGTTCCATCTAGGATAATGGACAGAGGTTCTTCCCTGGGCATTTCCTGGGCTGTGCACTTCTTTTTCCTTACCTAAGTAGTAGTTGGGTGTTCTGAGGTAGCCTAGAGCATGAGGGCATGTTTTGTAGCATTTCCTCTTAATTCTGATAGAATGTTACCTAGTTTTATTTGATTTTGTCGTGTATCTAAGGGCATGTTTGTACATACTATTTTCTTTCCTTTTTCAGATTCTACAGAGCTGCCCAAGCGCCTTAGCCTGGACAGTTCCTCATCACTGGAGTCACTGGCTTCTGCTCAGTCTGTTTCCAACCCTGTACCCCACTATCAAAACCCTCCGTTCTCTCCCACCTGTCCAGACAGCATTGCCTCAGATGCCATTTCGGTGTACAGCCTGAGCTCCATTGCTTCTTCCATGAGCTTTGTTTCCAAGCCAGAGAGCATGCTGGATGGGGTGGGACACAGAGGTCGCCAGGATTATGAGAGGCCCAAGAACATCTATCCACATAGGTCTGCAGCTCAGAGCCAGCTATCACCACAAGCCACCACTGCAGCCAGCAAAGATGAGGAAGAGTATGAAGGTTTCTCCATAATCAGCAACGAGCCTTTGGGCAGTTACCAAGAAAACATAAACCCAGGATTTTCCCCTGATCACAAACAGCCCAAAACTGGTCAGACTGGAGGCATTAAAGAGTCTGTCAACTCCAAAGGGAGCATAAGTACTCCAAATTCTCCTGTTAAAATGACTCTTGTCCCCAGTCCAAATTCACCTTTCCAAAAAGTTGGGAAACTTGCAAGTTCTGATACTGGGGAATCTGACCAGTCTAGCACTGAAACCGACAGCACTGTCAAATCCCAGGAGGACAGTAATCCAAAGCTTGATCCACAAGAGTTGGCACAAAAAATTCTGGAGGAAACTCAGAGTCACCTCATTGCTGTTGAACGTCTTCAGAGAAGCAGCAGCCAGATAAGCAAGAGCAGCAATTCGGATGACGGGGCTCCCGCCCCGGCTGGCGTGTCCGCGTTCCGCTCCTCGGAGACCAGCGCGTTCAGCCGGCCCGTCAGCTCCGGCCAGAGGAATCAGTCTTCACCTCTTGCAATTAAACCAAAGCCTCCAACAAGGAGTTCATCCCTTCAGAAGGTGAGCTCTGGCTATAACAGCCCCACAACATCGGAGATGTCAAACAGAGAAGGCACAGGTCAGTACAGTGGGCAGCCATCTCCAGGTTGTGATTCCCAGGGGTCCCTAACTGAGCAGCCTCCCTTTAAACTCAAGTACCCCAGCTCTCCTTACAGTGCTCATATTTCTAAATCACCCAGAAACATATCTCCGAGCTCAGGGCATCAGTCTCCTGGTGGCAGCACTCCATCTCCTGCTCTTTCTTATTCCTCAGCTGGTTCTGCTCGCTCGAGTCCAGCTGATGCCCCAGACATAGACAAATTAAAATTGGCTGCCATCGATGAAAAAGTGCAAGCAATTCACAACTTAAAGATGTTCTGGCAAAGCACTCCCCACCACTCCACTGGCCCAGTAAAGATTCTCCGAGGAGCTCCTGGAACGATGACTTCTAAGAAAGATGTCCTCAGCTTGCTCAATTTATCTCCACGGCACAGCAAAGAAGAAAACGCGGAGAAGCTGGAACTGAAGGACCTATCTATTGAGCAACACCTTGCTGCTTCGCCACAAAAGATCCCTCCAAATGGACACAGACACCCTGAAACCACAAATGCTGTGACATCAGCTCATTCCCCGCCGCCCGGCAGCACCGCGGGAGCCGTGCGGCCCCTGAGGCTGCCGGCGGGGAACGGGTATAAATTTTTGTCACCGGGAAGATTTTTTCCTTCCTCCAAATGTTGAAATGTCCCGAGTACCAGCTGATGACTTACAGTCTTGTTAAAGTATTTGCTTCTGCCCACTTGCCTTTACCAAAACAGAACCAATACCTAAGCAGCCGTGGTCATGCCCCCAGCTGGCGGTGCCCAGGGATGGGACAGGCTGTCATTGTGGGGGCACACGGCCTCACACACATGGGTTTTCATTTCCCTTATCAGGACCTCAGCCAGACTCACCTGATAACAGGTTCTTTGTAGTGTTCAGTATTTGCAGCAACGGGTCCAAAGCATCTGGTTGTCTGTTCATTAAATACTGGCTTTTAAGCCACCTCCTTGTATTTTTTTTAACCCAAGAGGAGGTTTTACAGCTGGCTTTTTATATTATAAATTATACATATCAGGGGTTGGAGAGGAAAGGGAGAGGAGGCAGAACGTTCCTGTGTGCCAGAAAGAACATATGCACAAGTTTCTGCCTGGAGAAGGATGAGCCATTTACTGCTTTCAAAGGCTGACAGAGGAGAAGATCACACACCTCTAGATACTTCTGCCAGGTTGGTCAAAACTGCTGGCAGGAAAACTCCATAGCAGCAGGATCTGGCAGTTCTCTTGCATCATTTAGAGTCTGGTGAAAAAAGGACAAGAGGACAGAGGTGCCCCATTCTAAAATCTGCATCTCAGGTAACTTTTCTGGAGGGAAACCCCTCAGGTGAGACTTTGCTGATTAGTCTGTTCAGAGGGAACGTTTGGGCCTAACGAGCCAGGTGAGCCTGAGCATGAGGTAGTGAGTGTGTGTCAGAGAGACAAGCTCTGGTTTTATTGAGTGCTCTGTCTCTCTGGTACACTGCGTTGCGAAGGTGAACTTTTCATCCTGGCAGGTATTTGGGCAGCACTGATGTCTTCTGTCTGCTCACTGAGCACAAAAAAGGATTACAGATGCTGCAGCTGAGAACATTATTTTACAGTTCCATGGCAGGCAGGAATGTGTCATCAGTATGTGTGATTTAGACATCACCTGACCAAAAAAATCCCTCACTGATCCTGCTAAATCATTGATTGCCATGGCTCAGTACAGGCAGGTCTGCAAACCTTTTCCCTGCTGCAGAAGAAGGTTTCCTTTGGAGCAGGTGTGGAAACAAGTTTCCTTTGGGGCAGGTGTACAGTACCAATGTGAGCAGCTGTCGGTGCAGTGGGAGCATAAACACGAGGCAGAAAGCGGAGGGGACGGATGCAGAACCTGAGTGCCCTCTGCCCTGTGGAGGAAAGGGGACCAAGAGCACCCCGAGGGTGATGTGTACAGTCAGCTTTCCTAGGCTAGGTGGGGTTTAGGAGCTAGGGATCAGGTTGGAGGTATTTCTTCTAAGTGGCTGTCAAATGCAGTGATGTGATGGGGATCCCAGTGATCGTTTCCATGCACTGAAGCCGTGGGCGTGCCGCAGCATCAACCCCACCACGTGTGCTCAGATCCACGCAAGGGATTCACAGGCCACGGGCTATGAAGTCGGAGCACTGGATCACCAAGGTTTTTGGTGTCTATTCTGCACTCCCAGAATTGGCTGAGTGACTGAAGGCCAATCACTTCACCTCTCCGTGCCTCGTCTTCCCTTTCTATCTAAATGGGGATAGTAATACTTACCTACCTACCTCACAGAGGTGTTGTGAGGCTGAATTCATTAGGCCCTGAGTTTTAGCTGGATCTTAAGTCAGCTTCCAGTCTTGCAGCTGACTACCTGAACAGTGAGTGCAGGCAGCTCTGTGGACGTACCAGGGGGTGCGTTGCTGACGCAGAGAATTGTTGCACTTGGCGTGGCTGGATGCTCTTGCTGAGAATGTGGATCTGATCATTTGTGATTTTCTTATGGATCTTGGAGGAAAAGCATGATAGCAGGGCAGAGATTCAGTTCTGATACCGAAACGTGAAATTGCTTAGGCTCAGCTTGCTCACAGGGTGTAATCAGATGCTTGCTGTGAGAATGTTCTGGAATCTGCTAGTTTTGGAGGAACATTTTCCTTTTTGTCGTTGAAAGAAATGAACACAAGCACTAAAGGTGAAGGATGTTGGGCTGGGTTGTTACAGCCAGCTACCAAGGGATGGGGGATCACCAAAGTTTCAGTGCAGAGACAGAAGGAGTAGTGAGTTACTCACCTATTCATATGCAATGTAGCAGAACAGTTGGGTTAATCTGTTCAATTTATATAATGCAAGTTATTTGTCTGTACATGACATCTTCCTGTGATGGTTTGGTGCTAAACATCACCTTCATGTCATTTGGCAGGAAAAATTAGAATATTGGGCCAAAATAAGTCAGCAGAGTGTCTGCCCCTTGTGGAGACAGTGATGCTGCTGATTGTGCCACTTGCTGTGGTCACAGGACTGCTGAGAGACTTCACGTGACCTGCTCTGTTTCTAACCAGCATAACTGTTTTGAAACGACATCCCAGGAACACCCAGGATGGAAGTGGGCAGTTTTTTGTTTATAGCAACAGCAAATACTCCCTGTAGTGCTGCATAACATGCCAGAAATAAGCCTCTGTGTTGTAGTTTACTTCCATAACTAAAGGATCTTTTAACCTGTAGAAATTCTATGCTGCCATTTTGGTACAACCCATTTCCATGCTCCAGCAAGTTTCATGCTGGCTTAAAGCTTTCAGACAGAGCTAAATCGGGGTGGGGGGCGTGGGGGGAGTGGTTCTTCTGTTGTTGTTTTTAAGGAGGGGGGAGCATTAGAAACAGGGAAGGGTTTGGATGTAGAGAAAGTTCAGTATTTGGGAATTTGGTGTTGTATAAATATGGAAGGTGAGTGTCACTAGAACAAGTCTTTTGGGAAATTGGTCTCCACTGACTTGGCACAGGGCACTTCCATTGGCTTGCCATGAAATGCATGCTTACTCGTGGCTGGGAGACACTGCACACACCTTGTGCCTCACTCCTCCACCCCCTGAATGAGAAACAACCCCTTTGTGAGGAAAAAGTTTTATCAGGCTTGCCCAATATGTGGAGAAATTCAGGATATGAAAATCACGTATTCTCCGTTTGCTATTAGAATTCCTTCTGTGGAGTTAATGCATTTGTCGTTGTTGTATTTGTGCATGGTACAAGTGACAACACTGCATAATACAGTGAGCAATAACAATTAGGTATTAACCACTTTCACATTAAACCTGCCACGTGCAACCATTCCCCAAGGCCCCATAGAGTGTTTTGGTTTTGCCCCATACTTTTTACTGTGTGAGATTTCAGATTTTTTATTGACTGTCTTTAGCTCCAACTAAATGGGAACAGTAAACAATCTCTCTGATCAAAATCTAGTTTAATTTGATTTTGTTGGTTAGCCTGTACCTCTGGCCTGGTATTGATTTTCTTTCTCTTTAATCCTACCTTACTGAAACAAGGAAAAAGCATTGAGGGGGTGCTATACCCACGCATATCACTCCAGGCCATATTTCTTTTCATTAGGTCAAACTCGTTCCGTGAACATCTCTTCCAAGTTGCAGAACAGATCCAGGGGCACAGGGGTGTCTGTGAATCTGTTAGGAAACACTGGTAGTTTCAGCTGGATGGTGATAATGGGTTTGAGCAGTTCTGGGTTCGTTGCATTGCCAGGCTGCCCAGAAGGGCTGCTCGTGTGTGTGGACGCTCGTCCCCTTGGCTGCAGAAGTGTTTCAGAAGAGCGCTGGAGATGGTGACCCAGAGAGGATGGTCAGCAGAGACTTCCCAGCAGCAGCCCTTCAGCACTTGCTCTCCCTGTGTGCAGTGTTAGCCATGTTTGGCCTCTATGGACTTTCTATGTAAATTAAAACTCTGTTTCCAGACAGCATTAAACTTTTTATATTATGAAATTTACCATGTAAAAAGATTTTCATATTTTTATTGAAATTGCTAAGGCATTTGGCCTTCCTTCTTTGTGATTTCAGTGTCTATTAAAGCATGAGTTCTCTCAGTGCCTCAATCTCTTGGTCTAGGAGGGTGTTGGGGAAGGGTGTTTGCTGGCTCATTGCTCTCTGCCAGCAGCCAGCTCTGTGCATCCCGTGGCAGAGTGTAGCAGACACACGGCAGCTCTCAGCTCCCTCTGCAACCTTCCTCCCCTTTTTGTGCAGTGTAGTGTTCCTCTTAACAGTGCTCATTGGAAATTGCTTTTCCTTTTCCTAACAGGTGGTGGGAGCATCAGTATTTGCTGGTCTCTCTTGTAGGTGGGAGCAAAAGGATGCAAAGCGCAGGGAGGAGCTCCAAGAGTCGCTGGCTCTAGCCCTCCAGTGGGAGAACCCTGAAAGGATGAGAGACTCTCCCTGTACCGATGCCAGCTGGAACCTGCTGAGTTAAATCTTCCTTCTGCCCCCACGTGAAAGGTGCCCTTGTGCTTAGGGGAAATGTTTGGGGACAGATGAAACTAAACATGCAAATCTGCATTGGGGCCACAGGAGGCTCAGCCTCTTGACAGCAGCCAGGAGCCCCTGGCAGCGCTGGTTGTGCTGCCGAGGGAGCCTGGGCTGGAGCTCTGCCAGGAGGAGCAGCTCCTGGGGAAGCGACCCCTCCACGAGCGGGGCCGCAGTGGAGCCGCACGGGCTGGTCTGAAGTGGTTTGTCTGTGCAGGGCCCGGGGTCAGTGGCTGCTCGGTGACGCTGCCGTGTGTGGCAGGATGCAGAGAGCACAAGCTGCAGCTGGCGGAGCACACACCAGACAAACCTTATCCATATGGGGAAGAAGCAGCAGCTTGGGCTGCGTGCTGCCAGTGTTTTGAAAAGCCAAATAAAGGCAAATCCTGAATGCTTGAGAACTTAGGCAAGTAGAGGCTCGCAGCCCCACCCCCCGGGGCCCCAGCACAGCCCTGGCCACCGCTGGCCCTCTCAGCCGGAGCCAGCCCCCCCAAGTCTGGAACTGTGTGTCCATAGGCAGGGCTACTGAGGGTTTTCCGTACAGCCATTTATCTGTGGTGGGGCAACGTGGAATTTTCTTACCTGTGGATTTTTGCTCTCCATTAATGGGCTAGTTTGGCTCCTGGCAAAGGCAAGGTGGGGGATGATGCCTTTTCTAGGGAAAGAGGGGCCAGGAGTGGTGCAGGAAGGGTCATGAGTCACCTCTGGGGAAGAGGATGTGCCATGGGAACACAAGTGTGGTGCTGAGGCCGAGGCTTGGACAGGAAGCTGCAGCTCACCAGGAGGCAAAGGCCTGCCCTGGCCAGTGCTGGGCACCAGCAGGTACCACAGGAGAATTAAAATGCAGCAGCCACCCAGAAATGAAAAATGTGCAGCTGAGCTGCTTATGGGGCAAGAGTTGACCACAAATGTGCCTTTGAAGTTACACCTTTCTCTTGCCAGCCCTGGGGCAGCACTATTCACCAGAACTCCCAGGTGGGAATGCTGTGAGGTCCCACATCCAGGCCTGTTTCCATTTCCCTTCCACAGCACCCAAAAACAAAGTTCCACCCTCTCCTTGACAGGCCTGGAAGTGTTGTGGGGTTGGTTTTTCTTTCCATTTTACCTGGTTTTACATTTGTGTGAGCATTTCAGAGGAAAGCAGATGTGCTCTCTCTGCATAGCTGTGGAAAGTATCGGAGACAAAAAATGAAAGCCAACGCTCAGAAACCAGAAAGCAAATCCGTATATTTAGAATACGTTAAGTAAATCCTGTAGTTCTACCTGAATTGTGATTTTTGAGAACCCCAAAGTGGAAGTATTGTTACCTGGCTGCCTTGTTCTTAGGACGACATTTTGCCACAGGATAAACTTCAGTCACTATGGAAACCAGGATAAAGCCAAATACAACACACAGAACACAGAGGGGTGGTCCCACCCCTCTGCTCCAGAGCCTGGAGCCCCGGTAGAACTTGTCCCTGCCACACACAGTCCTGCACTGCCCGGTGTCACTGCCCAGTACCCCTGAGCTACCACGGGAATTTTGCTCCTTGAGGAGTGTTCCAGGAACCAGCGTTCCAGCCTCCTCACAGCCTGGAGGGGCTCCACGGAATGTTCTGCTTTCGAGGCTGAGTTCACCCTTCTTTCAACGCCTCTGAGCTCTCAGGCTTGCAGGCTCCTTTCATTTTTTTGTTTTTAATGACAGCTGATGGTCAAGCGTTACCTGTGGGACCAGCGGGGGCAGGTGGGACTGAGCCCCAGCACGGCCGAGCCTTGCTCCTCCTCGTGTGGGTGCCAGACCTTATTAATTCCTGGCATCCTCGCTACTGACTTGTGACTGCGATGGAGGATAAAGAGCTGGTCTCACAAGAGGGCGGCATTGGCCGCGGTAACAGCCTCGGATGGAGCGGGAACGCGCCTTTCCCTGGCGGAGGCGCCGCGTCTGCAGGGCCGCGGTGTGGTTCCGTTCGCGTGTCCAACGAGGGCAGTGCGGAAGCAACAGCGACCCGCAGGAGAAGGATTTTGCTCGACAGACTCAGGGAATTCCAGCTCCCCCGCCCGGCAGGGGCTGGTGCTGGCGGCGCCCCCGCCGAGACCGGGGCTCGGTGTGAGAGCGATGCCGGGCACTGCGGGACAGCGGGACTCAGGACAGGCCGCCACGCGCCTGAAGGGCGCCGACACTTCCCGCTGTGCCTCCCGCGGCCGGGCGGGCAAACGGCGCAGCCGCCGCCGTTGGGGCGGGGCCGTCCCGGGGCCGCGCCCGCCCCGCGCGACGCCGGCCCGTGACGTCACCTCGCCGGCCGACGAAGGCGCGCGGGGCGGGGGCGGGGCCGGTCCGGCGACGCGCCCTGATTGGCCGTTTACGGGTGAGGTGTGCGCTCGCGGGAGCTGCGCGCCCTCGGATTGGCGGCGGCCGGCGCACGCGCGCGCCCCGAGGGCGAGGCGCGGGCGCGATTGGCCGCGCGGGCGGGGGCGGGGCCTGGCCCGAGAGCGGCGCGTGCGCGGAGCGACGGGAAGATGGTGCTGATCAAGGAGTTGTGAGTGGGGGCGGCGGGGGGAGTGCGGGGGCTCCGGGGGACACCGACGGACACCGGGGGGGCTCTTTCACCGCCACTGCCCCGTCCGGCCTCCCCCGCCCGCGCCGCTCTCCCCGGGCCGCGGGGCCGCTCCGCCCGCCCGCCCGTGCGCCGGGGCCGCCGCCACGGCCCCGCTCCGGCCGGTCCGCACCCGGGCACGCGGCCCGGGCGGCCCCTGCGCGGAGCGGGAGCCGCGGCCCCGCTCCGGGGTCTCCTGGACCTCCGTCCCCTCGGGCCACGCCGTGCCCAGGCGGCGGTGCCGCGGCGAGCGCGTCGTCCCGCGGGATTTCTCCCCGTTTTCCTTAGAAAGCGATTCGGTGGCAGCGGCGACCGTCCTGGAGCGGGGCCAGGGCCCTTCCCTGCTCGCAGCTCCCTGAGCTGCCGGCGCCGGGAGTTCCACGCCGCTGGGGAGGTCTTTCTCGTGGGGGCTTCTGCCAGCAAACCACCAGCCGGTTTGCTCCTCCGTCCCACCCTTTGGCTTTAGATTACTTCGGCGTCCAGTAACTGTAGCCTCAGCGGTAGTAAAGGTTCAAAAGCTTAAACAAATTAAGCACGACACAAAGTTATGGCAGAGCTGGAAGTAGATCCGAAATTTCCTGGCTCTTTTCTGTGGTTTCTAACATCCTCCACCCCTTGTTTTTCCTTTTGTAACGTATTTGGCATTGAACTTCGCTTGGGTTTGTTGCATTATACTCAAAGCCTCCCTGTCAACAGAGCATTTCTAAAGAGAAAACTTGAATTAGCTCCTTTTGACACTTTCTTGAATACCTGTGTTACATTTTATGTCTTTTATCTCTGATGAAGCCTAATGATTCATTTTGTTGAATTTGCTCTTTTCCAGCCGAGTGGTTTTACCTTGCTCAGTGCAAGAGGTATGTCCTGGTGCTCCCTGCTTTGTTTGGGCTCAGGGGTGGGGGGGCTGTGTGGGGTCCAAATGTCCCCTGTGCTGTCCCTGCCAGAGGGGAGTGACACAGGCATGAGCCCTGTTCCTTCCCATCAGGGAATTTACAAGGAGGCAAATGCAGCACAGAGCCTTGAGCTGGTTCTGAGCCCTCCAGTGCCACCTGTGCCACTGTGCCCTGTGGCAGCACTTTCCTCCTGATCGGGCACTGAGGGACTCCAAGCCTTTTCCTAAAGCCAGAAGTCGGAATTGTCCTCTCAGATGTGAAGCCAGCAATTCAAATGGCACTGAGGTGCATTTAAAGGAGAGGCATGACAGGGGGTCTGAACACACTCCTGTGCTTGTCCTGCAGTGTGCATTTCCTGGGTCCTGGGAGGGCAGCATCTAGTTGGTTAAAAGTATGAACTGGGGAGGCTTAGAGCTGGAAATCAGTCATTTCAAAATCTGTAAACTCAAAATGTATGTTTCTTTGATGCAATGAAGCACAACAAATACACTTTATTCTTAGGATGGGGAAAATGAAGTGTAACAACTTGGGTGTGTGCCAAAGTGTTGGATTGTTATGAAGCAACCTGGATATAAACTTGGTGCTTGTGAGCTGCAGATATGTGTTGTCAGAGTTTACTAAATGTCTTTTATATGGTGTATTTTACTTTCCTGATAATTTTGTTTGTAGTACTGCATTTTTACTGGAAACAGCTAAATTTTTTTATCTGTTAAAAGTTTTGGCCAACTTCAGTGCTGACATTTGAATTCTCTTCCCTTTTCAGTATCAAGTCGGGCAACTTTATTCTGTGGCAGAAGCTAGCAAAAATGAAACAGGAGGAGGGGAAGGCATTCAAGTCTTAAAAAACGAGCCTTATGAAGAGGATGGTGAGAAGGGACAATATACTCACAAGATCTACCATTTAAAGAGGTGAGGAAAACATCGATGCACATTGTAGTCAGTCTGTTGTAAGGGCAGCCTTCCATTGTTTGCCATTCTAGGACACTTGCTTGTGTTTTTCTGCCACTCTGTAATTTGCTGAATTGTGCATTAATGCTCTGGTGAGTAGGAAAACATGTGAAATACAGTGGATTTTAAATATACGTGATGGAGCATTGTGGGACAGCTGAAGGA